GAGAATTTATAGAGAAATATGTAGAGGTTATAAAAGGCCGATTTCAACTTGGATTTTATTAAAATCAGATTAGGAATGAGGATAACAACCCAAAATGGATCTGCTTGCCCTTATCAAAACTGAGCCAAAAATTGTGACCATTATTAGGAAAGTGGAATGTCAAGGTGATAACAAAGGAGAAGAAAACACTTTTCACCGGTATGCCAACACAACACGAGAAGACAGATAAACTTGAATGTTTGGGAGTTTATCGCATCAAATGTTGAAACTGTGAGCAGAAGTATATCCGTGAAACAGGACGAAAAATCGTTCTACGAATCAAGGAACATCAAAGACTCTGCAGGAACATGGATACACAAATATCAGAAATAGCGTAACACATTGCACAGACGGGGCATGAAGTCAACTGGAAATCGACCGATAGATTTGCTGGATATGGTGAAAATACAAGAAAATGCAAGATCCGAGAGGCGATTGATATACTGACTGAGAAAAATTTAATGAACAAAACACTTGAAAAAGGCAGGATCAGCGAAAAATTTGCATATTGCCTAAACAAACTAGGAGAAGACCAGGCAACAGGAAGATCAGCAAAAATAAGACGACTGGAACAAGGTCATATCCTTAATTTTAGGAAAAGAGATTGCAAGGGGATGAGAAAGGAAGAATCAGAAGCAAAGAGGATACGTCTTAAGCCAGCCTTATCAGAACAAGTAGAACCATGACATTTGCTGGTTGGTACACAAGAGACTAGGACATAGGAAGTGATAGTCATGGTATTACAGATAGAAACAGGAAAGACTCGGTGGAGACTCAAGCTGTTTGGCCAACAATAGACGTGTTTGATCTTAAACGTGATCGTTGAATCACGACTATTGTTAGCCAACCATCTCTAGCTTCCACTGTTTCTATCCTTTTCTATCTATAATACCAAGCCTATTACTTCCTATGCTCTAGTCTCTTGTGTGCTAACCCACAAACGTTGTGGTTCAACATTGAACCTAACCAAAGCAAGCAGTACCACAACA